CGGGACATGACCGGACAGATAGTGTGAATCGGCCTTAAAGCTGAGTGGGAAGCACTCTAGATCGAATGGTCGCAACATCGTCGCCTTTTTGGTTACGGTTGGTGCCAGCGCATGTCGAGTAGTTATTTCATAGGGCGAGCATTCCACTGCACCTATTTTACATGGAACACAATAAGTGATATTTGCCAAAGTGTATATTTTATATTATTATTTCAAAATTATTAATATATTTAATCAAACTTGTTAGAACCCTGTTTAATAAATTGTTTATTTAAGATACAAAAATTAAAATGAAAGAATAAGTTTCTAATGTATTGATTAGTTACGTAGCAATTAGACTGCTACGAAACCCTTACAGGCGTTCGAAATTCAGCCCGTCGGATCAGCCTTAACGAAGATATGAAATTTTTAATCAGGGTTTCAACTGTGTATTTCCAATCGAGTTCAACTTTGCATACTGAATTGTGCTCGTTTTTACCGATCTGTTCGCACTCGTTTTGTGCGTCAATATTAACGGAGATACGGAATTTTCAATATGGGGTTACAGCCTAGTGCAAAGATCGAAGGTTTCCAATCGCGACGAAAATTCACGTCTGAATTGTGCTCATTTGGTGCTGATTTGTGCGCTAACTTTACGGGAATTAAGTTTAATGGACAAATGATATGCTTAATCAGAGGGTCACAAATGAATTGTGCTCGTTTTGCGTATTCACCTAACGTGTTATGCGCGATTATTAACAAAACGCAATTAATATTAACGTATAGCGACAATTTTTAATGCGTAGCTAAATACTGAAAACCATCTATCACATCTATTAGCCGTGCCCACATTGTCATGAAGTGCCTAATGTAACCACCATATCCTTCTGGCTCATATTTTGGTGGTTCTTGATTTTTCTCTTTCTAACGTGAACTTAAGGCGGTGGATAAGTTCGTAAGATTTGATGTCAAAGTCAATAAATATCGAAAACACGTATACACAGTAAACACTTGCAGTAAGTTAAAAAGCAGAAGATGTAATAATTTTTGCAATAATTTTTTGGGCAGCTATTGAATACCCCCTATTAATATCTACGCTCCTGGACCTTCTTTAACTTCTCCTCCCTCTTATGATAAACATAACTGAAAAATTGAAGGAGTAATGAGAAAATGTTCCGTATTCCGGGCTACTCCACAAAACTCATAACTTGCAGATTTACAAAATTCCTACACCAAGACGGCACATGGTGTTTTTTTAAAGACTATCTGCTATATGCAAGGTCTATTAAGCCATCTTCACTCTTTTCTATTCTATTCTTTTCATATCCACGCATCCCCTCTTTCAGACGTTTACTATCTTTACTAGTCTTCTTCCTCCTTTCCGTGTACCCCCCTCTGCTCCTTCCATCATGTTTTTCAGCAAACTATTCCCTCTCAGCACATTCTTTTCCTTCTCAAAATAGTTTTATACAAAGATCTTCCTTCTCCTACTTCTAGTACTTGTTCGTTCCTAATCCTGTCAGACCACTTTATTCCAAACATTCATTTCTAGATCCATTTAATTGTTTTCTTACCTTTTTTCAAAATTGTCCACGTTTCACAATCACGTCCGTACAGCACAACACTACGTATAAAGCACTTCGCTACCCTTTTCCTTAGAGTCATGTCCAACTTGCTGCAAAGTGTTCTACCTTCCCTGGCAAATGCTTCTTTTCCAGATTCCCCATTGATCTGTTACAGTGGTTCCTAGATATTTACAGTTTTCTACCTGCTCCAATTCTTATTCCTTAGTATTTTTCTGATTTATAACTAAACCATATTCCTTTTCCTCATCTTCATGTTAATGCTTTCAGATCTACTGTATTTTCCGCAAACATGAGAGTGTCATCAGCAAACCGAATGGATACAACTCTTCTTCCTCCAATATTTATGACCTTTCCAACACTTGGATGCCACGCACTCAGTGAAACTATTAAATAATGTCGGTAACACCCGTGTCTCACCCCTTTCCAAGTTCAAACCAACCCATTCTCTTTCCGCTGAGTCTCAATGCTACCTGCTGTCCGGTGTACAATTTGCTCAATCTATCTTTTTCTTTTAAAATGTCCGTCAAGTTTTCTCACAGAACGCAATCAAAATAATGTCTTTACTAGGTCAACGAAGCACAAACTTTTTGTTTCTTTCTTTTACCCAGAGGTATCATCAGAGTCTTCAGGCTAGATTCGTGTATATCATTACATAAAGATGTTAATTCCTTCATTCCTTCTTTCTGGAGACACCTTAATATCTCTATTGGAATTCCATCCCCGTAGCTTTACCTGACTTCATATCTTTCATTGGTTTTTCCACTTCGGTAAGCATAATTCTGGTTCCTATACGGTCAGGACAGACTGCGTCTTCCGTTTCCAATTCCAGTTGCCTTCGTTTAAATGTGCTTTATAGAGATCTACCACATATTTTTTCCATAAACTTAGAATGTCCTTTCAGAACCTTTTAATTCCTCTCTTCCACCTCATTGCTACAACCAGTTCTTGATGATCTGTTCCAGGTAGCCTCCTTAATCCTATTGTAAATAATATCGTACCCTATCAAGTTTTTCTATTTCATTATATTGATTTTCCACACTACCTCTCCCTAGCTTCATCAGTTCAACTGTGTATTTAGCCTCCAATATTGTCTTCTTCCTCCTTCGGTATTGATGTTTTAATACCTTCTTCTCTTTTCCATCTGTGCTATCATTTCTTAATATTTTCAAGTTTTGTCTCCTTTAGTAGACTTTTCACGTTCTAAGTTTCCATTTTCAATTTAGTTTTTTCCTTCTCTGCATTGCTCTCTTCGGATACTGTGTAATATGTAGAGACGAAAAGGACTGTATAGCCGTGGAAAAGCACTACCGGGTGATAATAAGCACCAGAGAAAGGAAGGATCAGGTAAATCTATAAATAGAGAATGATAGCTCGACCAGGGCTAAGGAGAAAGGGTTTAGTGGGTGCAAGCCACACACTGCCACGACTAGGCATTCCCCAATTCCCCAAAAATTGTTTCCAATTTCTTCCAGATCAGATCTTGAAGGGGAAATCTAGTACAAAATTTAGAAAAGCTGAAATGAAAATCCCACGTAAACTCTTTTTGGAAGTTTTGTTCCCGTTGCTTCCACATGAACACACTTATTTGGGAAAAATGTTTGTTTTGGTTCCCTGGGCCACCCAAGGACGTGTGGACTACAGCCGTGCATTCAAAGATATTTGAGACAAGCGTCACATATTTAAACGCTTCTTATGCTTTTGATAGTACTCCAGAGAGTACTGGAACGTTCTTGTAATGGGACGTCTACCAAACTGTGAAAGATCTAGGAAGCTTTCAGATGAGACCATTTCTGGAAAGGGATCTTCTGTTCTCAGTTCTAAAGGATAGTTCCATAGTTCTGGAAAGCTTAAACAAAATTCCAAGAACTTACTGGAAATGTCGGAGCTCGGTCAACGACTGTTCTAAAAAAGATCTAAGTGAGTTCTAAATGAGAAGAGTAAATTCCGAAAAGAGTTTTGCCTTCCGTTTTGAAAGAAATGCTCGCGAACGTAAATTTCGAAAGCATGACAGACTCAGCCGACGTTTCCTGTATCTTTTACGTTGACTATAAACGACACCCCTAAAGATAGGGAATCCTTACATCTCTCTTTGTTATACCGGGATATTCACCCACAAAACCAGGAAGTTGGCCGCAGGGAGCGAAGTAGCGCTAAAATACTAGAGGTACGATTTTCAACCCATGTGATAAAAGGGCACGTTTTAATTATTTCAAAGGGGTAATGTTTAATCTTTAAACAATTAAAATGTTAAAATAATATTTGGAAAAATAAATCTCATAAGATAATTAAAGGAATCAACAAGTGTTCTGTACAAGGTTCGGTCGTATGACTGCTAAGGGCTGCTGTGTAGGAAAATCAAACTAATTTGGGTGGTCCAGTTAACTTCATTTGAAATTGTATGATCCCATTTGGGAACAATGGCGTGTGTGATAAGCTCCGAATTTATAAAGATTCGCATTGGGGAATTGTTTAACCGGTCATAACTTGTTAATTGTACAGTTTAAATGCGGCTTTTTTTATTTATTGCGCTATTAAGCCAAACAATAAACAAAATCCTCCCATTGCGATTGTATTGTGTACGTTTGTAGACCAACAAAAGGAAATAAATAAATCTTATCACACGTGACTCTCTTAAATTCGAAGCACTGCATCAAGTAATTGTTTTGTTTATTTTTTGGCTGAGATTGCAGGGCGGTTTATGTTGATTCAAGTTTTGATACAATATCACCTTTCGGTATGCTTGGAAAACGCGCCAATGGCACTATTTATGAGTCGTTGGGTTTTGTTTTATGTGACTGTGTACTTGGTGCTACAGTTGCGACAATTAAACTGATAAAATCTCTTTTCAAATGCACTAATAAAACGGTGTTTGCCGTACAAGGAATGTTTCTTTTATAGATATGCACTACATATTCCTTGCTCAGGTCCCATTTAACAAATAATGCCAAAAAATTGTTGTGAAAATTAAAACGCAGAGACACCAAAAATATTTGGGCTTCAGCTGAAAGGTGGTTACTTGGTTCTCTATCACCCAATTCCTTTGAAATACCCACTTAATTGACACACCTGTACCTATGACTTTTTAATATCGCTTTATCTTTTTCGCTAAATAAATATTTATTGAAACGCAGTATAATATAATAAATTAAATTACATTAAAATTAATTAAAACGAGTCTATACCCACCTAAGTAATTACAACGATTTCACTAAATCCGTCCCGACGGTTTTGTTTGTCATTCCTTTCGATCAGCCAGTTTTGTGGTATATATAACTTCTAACAGTGGAATATATTCCCATATTTTTTGTAACGCAACACAAGGAAGTAAATAAACAGACGAGAGGTCTTTGTGTTATTTTCCTACGAATCACGTTTTTAGACTAAGAGCATTCACTAAAAAATAATTTTATTTCAAGTGTGTTCCGGTCTCCGGCTTGGGATTTCGAAGGGGAAGTTACAAGTGTGTGTGTCGGCTTGGTTTCTACTTTCCTGACACCAAAGCTGAGCGAAGATACTACAATGGAACCGTTATCGAAGAGGAGTATGAGAAACTAATGCTGGTAAATATTTCAAATGTATTATTTTGCGTCGAGCTTTGCGCGTACAGTGAATAAGGGAAATTTTGCTATACGGTTGTTGTTATAATATACGGTGATTGAGTTGAACTAACCTTCATAGCCGTACATTTGGGCCATACTTAATGAGAAAAGGAATTATATATCAAATTACTTTAAATTTGGAGGGTCATTTACGTGATATGAAAATGCATCCCCTTTTCCTTCATAATTAATAATCATGGCGGTCTCATTTCCTCTCACATTTAGCGAAATGGAATTTTTAGTTTCACCATCCCTATGCTTCAAGAAAACGCAATTAACCTAATAATAAACAAGTTTAAACTTAGTTTAGAAAGATTCCATTAATTATCCACTTTGAACTATACATCAAGTTTTAGACGTTCCAACCACACTTATGCGTATATAAGTGGAAACCATTCGTTAAAGACAATGTGCTATCATCCATCACTATACACTATTGCGCAAAATATTGTAAAGTTTTTAAAAGAGAAACTTCTCCAGCTATTAGCATCGTAGATTGCATATATTGTAAACCCGGTAGTAAGTAGCCCATCAGAGCAGTTCCTTGGGTTTTTACACTGATAAGATTTGTACCAAATACCAATCTCTCCAGTAGGGTAATTAACGAATAGCATAACCACTGGTTTTAGAGAAATCAAGTACGCTCAAGGTTATAATTAAACTAGAAACTCATATGTCCTATTTAACCTTCGTGATACGAGTTCAATTTTAGAATGTCTAGAGAAAAGATTAATTTTTGTATTTAGCTATTACCAGAAATAGTATAAATGACATTACACATAGTCATTTCATTTAAACTTATTAAAATTTTAATCTAACCCCTTGGGGACACTAAGGATTTTATAGTTATGGTGTGTTGAGGTCAATGATTTGATAACAAAATCCTCTTGTTGACACTCCATATACCACCCTCAAAACTGGAATCATTATCGCCAACTCCTCGTGCAGGAAGAACTTGGTGACCGCACTCCTTCCCAGTTTCTCCGCCATTTGCGCTCTCTGGTGGACAGCGCCACTGTTTAAGGCAGCCTTCTCCGCACCAAGGAATCTTGCAGGTCTAATCTGGTCAAACTGGCCTTAGTCCAGATACTCTTGCAGCCGACAAGATTATGGAGATCCGGTCTGTTACACCAGCTCTTGCGTTATCCACACTTACTGATATAAACACCAATCCGCCATCAGCTGTATCAAACCAGCTTACTCAACGACTGGATGAATTTTCAAGGCAGTTTTCGTGCGATGCAAATCTAACCTTCCACGAAGCCGTAATGTTTCTGCTGACCGTAGTCGTGACCGTTACCGATCTACAAATTCCAATGGTGTTTGTTGGTACCATCGCCGTTTTGGAAATCAAGCAACCAAATCTTGTCTTATTGTTCGTTTCAATCATACTCCACTGGCAGTCAGTAATGGCGGCAGCTGATTGCCCTACAAGAGGGCACAAGTTTTTGTTAGACACCGACTTGTTGTTTTCCTCGGAAATTATTCCCCGAGCGTCGATGCCGTGTCAATTATTAGACCCTGTGGAATTTACCAGACCCTTAACATTTTTCAAGGCCTACCTAAAAGTGTAAGGTCCTTTTCCAAACAATCTTTCGCGCCATCGACAAATACCGGAAATCCGTCAAATAAGATACAATTAAAGCATTTTTATTAATTAATTAATTAATTAATCTCATTTTCCCAATATTTGAGGTTAGGATCGAGAGTTTGAAAAACGTTTTCACTGGCCTCTTTGGATGTTATTTGGATACTTTTTTTTCATAAAGAAAAAGTTACATTCTATTTGATTTGTTTGATTTTTTTAGGATTTTGAGTTATAGTGTCAAAACTAGCCCTCTGGCGGAGAGGGATTCAACTAAATTAACTATATTTTGGTTCATTCTCATTGCCCAAGGAATGCCCTTTTCAACCATACCAAATTTGTTAAAATCGGTCAAACGGTTAAGAAGTTAAAGCAGGTTATTGCAAAAACAATTGAACGCCTCACACCATCTTTGTTTTTGAAATGACTAAGTTTTTGTTTTTACGAAAATTATAGATAAACTGGTTCTGTTTAAAAATTTTTAGCTTATTATGCGAAATTTAAAGAAAATGCAATTTTAAAATTTAAGAATGGCAGTTGGTAATTTTTAGAACTTGAAAGTATTTTCCAGCGATTCTTCATGACCGATTTACCTAATAATTTTTTACCTCTAAGTCATATGACGAACGGTTCTCAAGATATGGCCGAGGAACGATCTTATTGGGTCACCCGGTACTACAGACAGTCGACATATTCATGGAACTGCCAATATCGTTCTATCTATTCTATCTATGCACAGAGGAGCTCGACCGGCAAGCACCAAAGGCCCAGTGTGCGTATACCCCCTTTCTTGCGCAACTAGATTCAGAGCCCAGTCCTCTCAATAAAGGATAGGACCCTGTTTAGCCTAAGTTGCTATACCCTCACCGGTTCCAGATACCTGTCCCCAAGAAGTTGATGTCTGTCTCTTTACTTTCGAGTGTATTGTTTTTTTTCGTTTTTTTATTTTTTTTTTCGTTTGTCAAGGTCAATGGTAGAACGCTTGATGCAGACCTTTCTGCATTTAGGCGAATTGATCTTTTTGGCTGAGATTGTTTACTTACACATTATATATACGTCTTTTTTTTGTATTCTACATATATTCAGTCAATAAAGTGCTATTATTATTATTATATGAAGGCGTCACAGTGACAGATCACATGCACCGTAGTTTCATTTGCCTCGCCACAGAACCTGCACGTGGGCTCCTCTACAAGCCCAATGTTACGCAGGTTGACCATCCAGAACACCGGCGATCTTCTTAATCTGATTCTATTCAGTTTTAGAGGCTTAGAAGACCCAGTTTTGGCAAAGAGCCCTGTTAAAAAGAACCTGGACTGTCTGAGTCCGGTTGCTTGGTGCCACTGAACTTGGAGTTGACCCAGTCTTTACCCCTGACATAACGGAGGGAGCAATTCCTAGGGTAGGCTCGGGTCCGATGAAGACCCCACCACTGTTTTCACGAGTGCCGTAGCCGATCGGAACCTGTCTGCTGACAAAACGTTCAGCGCCACGTGACTGTCACTGCATATGTATAATTATACACTGCTTACGGTAATCTCTGCGGAGGTTCTCCTGTGCAAGGTCATGATGGCTAACATCTCAGCCTGAAACACGGCGCTATGCTGACAAGGGAGAAGCTGACGTCAGCTCTCGGTCGATCACCGTCTGTAAACCACACGAGTCCCTCAGATTTGAGGAACGGGCGACTACAGCCCAAGCTCTGTGTCGGGGAGAAACAGTTTATAACTCCTTGGTCTTAATAAGACAGCCCGGATCACATCCCTTCTTGCGAGGAAGGGTTCCGACCTGAGGGTTTTCCCTCAAATCCACTCATGCCCGAGGCTGTCCTGTTCCAACCACTTGTCCCAATCGTTTAGCCGTATGTAAGCCTTCCGAGCCTCTGCCTCCACAGCTATGTATAAAGGCTTTAGTCCCAAAAGTTCCTCCATGGCCAAAGTTGGCGTGGTTTTCAGGGCTCCAGTGACTTTCAGATAGGCGAGTCTCTGAATTTTTTCCTGTAGGATGACCTGCGCATAGGAGCGTACCATACAAGTGCACCATACAGCATACAGTAGAGGGCTCAAGCCCCATGTATAACCAAAATCCATTCTACATGCCCACAGACATACAGTGGCTTTTTTGCTGATTCGCTCAATGTGCCCTTTCCAGGTCAAGAGGGAGTCTATGATGACTCCCAAATATTTCACTGACCTGGTCAGAACCAGTTGACTTCCCCGAAGAATTCCGTTCTCTTTCTATTTGTAAATGGAACAACCTGCTTCTTTTCCGGGTTAATGAAAAGACCGTGGCTACCGCACCAACTAACCACCTGCTTTCACAGTGTTTGGAGTAAGTTTGGAGCAATAGGTGGCCTGAAGTTTACTCTCAACAAACGATTACTGCAGAAGAAGGCGCGGGACCGATTGTAACATGCTGCTGTCACCACAGATCAAGGTTGCCAGTTTGAGTCTGATTTGTTCACAACCCTGAATAATATTTTTGGAGTCCTGATCCTGCAGATACCATCCCTGTGCCAATGGTATGGTTGAACGTGTCCATACAGTTGAAAGCAGCAGTGAATCTTGGCTCGAAGCTCTTCCAATTGTATTGCTGCATAACTCGTATACGGACAGACTGTCGTTACCTGGTGAAGTGTGAACTCCCCAGACCGAAGCTATACGACAAGAGGCGTAACTAGCTTCGTAGTGTGTCTGAGACGGTATATGAGGCTGACCTTCGCCCAGTTTCTGCTTTCCACCATTCTACATCCAAAGTTTTTGTTTTTCAAGATCTTGCAACATGTTCCCATGTTTTTCTGAGGGATTGGAAAATAGAGAAAAAATGTTTCAAAACCCACTCGTGAGTGTTGCCGCGTAACACAGCTGTAGAATGATGAGGAACGGGCAAATGTTGACCATAGTAGCTATCAATTAGCGAAAACCCGAAGTCTCTAGGTGGCCCAGGGGCAGAGATCTCGATGGAACAGACATACAGACAGACAGACGACGGAAAATCGAGCACATAAGCATCAACTTCGTTGTGTTACGTAATACAAGAGTTGTAAGTAGGGAATGCAATACCGGGATGGCCCGAAATACTGGAATCCCGCCGCTTTTGTGCGGATTAATCCGCAGGTACCGTTATTCTCACAAACTATGGAAATATTGCAGCGAATATTCTAGAAATCCAGATAGACATGGAGGAGCCATAAAGGATGACTCACCGGCGACAAGAAACTAAGGCGGATGTGACGCATTCTTTCTGGGAAATACAGAAAATTCGAGAATATTCGGTTAACCGCACAAAATTGCTTATTTCTCAATGTCTTTAAAAATCGCACTTAATTTTTTTAACCTCAAACTATGTGCAATAATTTCAAATGGAAGTGTCTTGAGCGTGAATATTTTGGTATCTTTAATAGCTACCCTGTATATCTCCTTGCTAAATGTGGTCATTAGTACCTACTGTTGAGAGAGTAATACCTACTTATATTAACAAAATATTTTTTTCTTGTAACTTTTTAATTAAAGAGTCATATCTTTCGGCATCTTTCGCGTCAAGGTCCCAGAAATGCATTTAAATATTAATCCCTAAGCCTTCATAAGCCTCCTCATGGGATGAGGTAAAATTTCATTAATAAAAATTAGGCTTTTAAAAGAATTTCAGGAATTATTTGAATACCGAGGGTTTTTACTAACTAAATCTGAAAAGCTATTCGCTTTAATGTTTAAATTGTTGGTTTCCGAGATAACGGAATTTAGATCATAATAAACAGATGATGGAGCGCGTGTCTTGTGCTATTTTTGCTGTTCGTAATTTTACGGGTATCACCCTAGATTATCGTTAAGATTGCACGTATTCTTATAATCTCTGGAAGTCCGTAGATTGCTTCTCATCTGTAATTGTAAGAAAAGAAGCTTAATATTAAACTTATTATCAAGGGAATACGTCACATATTCAACGACGAGATCGTATTTTTGTCCACGTGAACGTTACTTTGCGTATCAGTTGATATAGTTTTTCGTTCAATATTGGCCGTTTTTATTTTGGAAAATGTATTAGTGACTTTTTGTCTAATATGCTTTTTAGGGGAATTTTTCGAAAGAAAAAAAAATCCCCCTTATGTGATGGTTTTGCCCGTCTGTCCGTCTGTTCCTCGTCTAACTTGAGAACGAAAAGAAACATGGATGTCAAAAAATCTTCCCCAATCGATTTCTACGAATTGAAGGATCAGTGCTGTTGAATATGAGCCGGATCAAAAGTCTGGTTTTCGAAGACGAGCGGAGCGACAAAAAATTCCTCTACTGAAAGTCATATTCGATTCTTCGTATCTTGTTTACAGATTCAATAATTGGTATCGATACAGTCTTTTAATAAAATTTGGTCCATTTTTAAATCAAATGGTGCATTACAGCATTTTATGTCGAATTGACGTTTTAAAAATCGTCGTGAATTAAGCATAATTTCCATTCGATTCTGGGCCATTGGGAGAAACAAAACGTAACTTGATTTTGTGTGCTTTATAACTGTCGTCACAATAATTTGTTTAGGGATTCCATTGTGGGAAAAGTATTTAATAAGATTATCCTAGAGATTATCAGAGATTTCTGTGCTCGAAAGTGAGATTAAATTATAAACTTGCGCATATTTAGAAAAGCTATCGATTATTGTTACGAGTTTTTATTGTTCAAAAGTAAACTAGGAAGGACCGAGTGGCTTCTTTCGTACTTACATTTTTGTATAATTCACATCATTAATATACGTTTGACTTGAGATTTTTATTGCGGGTCAATAATATTCTTCTTTTATTCGATTTACGGTTTCGTCAATGCCGCGATGGTTTGATTTTCCTTCGTGATAATTTTGGATGATTTCCTTTACTCAGTTCTTATCGGTTACTTACATTTATTAATCATCCTGCATTCATTTTTAATTTTACGGGAATGTATTTGTCAGCGTTCAGTTGAACTACTGAAAATCTTTCATCCAAATTCATTATTAAAGTTAATTAAGTACGTCAAGATCAAAATTATTTTCTGAAAATTAAACTTTTATTCTTTGTTTGCTTTCGAATAAGACTGTGGTTACTGGTGTCGAGAGGGAATATAATGGCAGATTAATGAAAATTCGGTTTTTGGCGTAGTTGCGGATAATCAAATCGTACGTTTAAAATGACTGAATTCTAAAAGGAATCGGTTTCTTTGGTGTGAATTTCATGAGAAAGGGCATCGCCATTTGTGTTAAATTTCGGGCAATAAAATGCAGTCTGAAATATTTTGTCCCCCATACTGTGGCTCAGAATTTTTTTTCGATTACTGAATACTTTTGTTCTGAGTCGTTGAATGTCCTTTTGGAACAATTTCACCTAAGGCTTACTGTACTCAAATTAAAAGGTTTGGAAATGGAAATGGAAGAATATTTGTCGTTCAGTTCGATTTCAGCACCTTTTTTCAAATATTTTGGTCTCCACGACTCTCTATCCTCTGCTCTTCTCTTTATCCTTTTTCTCCCTCCTTCTGGTCGTCAACCAATTTCTTTCTTCTTCCTCTTTTCCTTTCACCCTGAACACCTCCCTCCATTACTTCCTTCAACAAACAGTTCTTTCTTAGTAAATGTTCAATCCAGTTCATTTTCTTTCGCTTTATGATCTTTAACATACATCTTTCTTTACCAATTCTACTTAATACTTACCTTAACAGTCCATTTGATGTCCATCATTTTTTTCCCTATACACATTTCAAAATCCTCCTTTTACTACTATGCGATCAAAAATGAGTTGCTGTCACCTTTGGAATTTTTGTTTCCATGGGAAATCGTACTTAATTTGAACTTCCAAAGGCGACTCGACAGCAACTCGTTTTTGATCGCCCGTTATTAAATGCCTATCCTGACGCTATCCTGGTCTTAATTTCTCTTTCGCTTTTCCAACTTTGTGTTATCTTTGTACCTAAATACCTATATCTTTCAACAATATCTCAAGTTCTTTTTCACTCTCGACAAGTACAATCATGTGATCTGCAAATCGTATACTAACAATCCTTCTCCCTCGGATGTTCTTACCATATTTTCCCCTTTTCCAACGTATTTCCGCCATATCTTCTACATATAAATTAATCATAGTTAGTGATAAATAGCATCCCCATCTAACACCTCTTTCCATCATAAACCAATCCGTCTTTGTACAGGGTGTCCTATTAATAATGGCCACAGGCCATATCTATGGAACTGTTAGTTGGACAGCTTCGGGAAAAAAAGACTCTCTTCATATAAAATGTGATTCCACGAAGAGAGCTCTTTCCAACAAGACCTATTATGTGAAAATCTGTTAACCTAATCCGAAGTTACATTCAATTCCTTAAAGAGATGTTCCTCTTTCCCCATATTTTATGAGCTAGAGCAATATGTGCTGGATCAAAATGATGCGAAATTGATACAAGATTGCATGCATGTATTTTTATGCATGTTTGTTGGGTATATTTTAGGGAAAAATCATTTTTCTACTTAACCATGAATCGTACGCCCCCTAGCGGCGAAGCTAGAAACTTGAAAATAATTTCCAGCGATTTCTCTTGGCCCCTTTTGTTAACAAATTTTTTTTCCCGAAGTTGTGCAATATTAACGGTTCCATAGATATGGCCTGTGACCATTATTAATGGGACATCCTGTATAGCCAAGCCCGATTTTTACTTTCTGTTTCATATATGTTACCGCTAATGTTAGAAAAACGTTAATGTGCACATGAACGGATTAATCTACAGATTAACGGTTGTGATTCGTTAACGTGTGAAATTTCTCGGCTTCTTCCAGGTCTTGGTAAATTCTCTCTCAGCCTCGAGAGTTTCTTCTCCCAGGTCTTCTTCCGTAGCTTCGTCTATCATCAGTAAATCAAAAATCTTTTCATCCAACCTTGCTAATTCTTCAAGTAAACAATTTAATCTTACGTGTCTCTCCATTGTCCAATTCCTTGGCTATTTTTGCATCATTTATGGTTTGCATGACGATGGATCCCGACATTCCTCTTTTCTTGCATAGCAGATTCTTATCTTCACTTCAATCTAGGTAAATGAAATTACCTGAAACGTAATGAGGTGGTGTCATGATCAATCCTTTGTTAGTGTTAACGTTTTCTTTCTTTCAATAAAATAAATAACTTATCTTCAAGAAATCTAAGTTTAATCAATATTTTTACAATGTATTATGTGCCAAGCTTTTTTTCTATTACTTGATTCCAAAGAGGGAATTGCAATATTTACCAGCAATACCGAAACTGCATCGGCGTTCTCAAAAGAAGACGTGGGTGACGTCTGCACAAGAAATAATAAAATCGTCACAACTAGGAATGGACTTTCAGTGGATGCATAACTGTCCGCGTAAACCTATTGTTTTGGTGCCGCTCAGCACTTTACTTGGATCGTTACGCTTACGCTTAAAATACAAAACAAATTTGTTCAAAAAATTATTCGATAAATAAATTGCAAATTTTCAATTCATTGTTTTTTTTTATCAGACTTTACTGGGGGTCATAGATTTTCTGCTCCGATACAAGATCAATAAACGTAATCAAACGTGCTTCTAGATGCAATCTGTAATTGGCAGTTTGTCGTATTTCTAGGAATGATTTATAAAAAACTTTGATATCTAAGTTTTTTATGTCGAAGAAATTTTCTTTTATTACTTTCGCTACATGCTTTCGGCAAGTTCGTTCTCTGTAGACATAAACGAAAAAAATCTTTAATTATGCTCAACATCACTTTTGTAAAAAAACGATACCTTTGAAAATGAATATTTGTGTTTTTGTAGGCGATCTTTATGCGTAGGTACCATATACAAGACGCGCGCACTTCTTAAAACAATAAAAGCGTTTTTATCAATAGGCCTGACTCGTTTTCCCTAGACTAAGAAGACATTATCGACCTTACCTATGAAAACTTATTTGCAATATACAGGGTGGTTTATTTATCGTGGACAGCATGAGGATATATTTCATTTCGTCGTTATTACATAGTGTGCGCTCATTGCAACGATTGGTGTGTTTGTTTTTAAAATTGTGCAGAAATTTTCCAAAAACGATATGCCATGAAAACAAATCCAACCTTTGTGTTAGTTCTCAAAAGACCGTAGTAGATATGAAAATTATTTCTACGCGAAACTTCCTACAATGTTTTTATGTTACGCCCGAGAAGTATGTCTGAAATTACATTTACATTACTTTTTTCAGGGACAAGAAAGCCAGTATGGTGAACCAGGGGTGTTTGAGTGCTTACCCTGTGCAGAGGGGTGCGAAAGCTGCGAAGACGATCGCCCTTGTGTCGTGTCGCTTAATTGGGTGATGCGAACCGTTATACTCATCTTGTCGTTTGCAATTATATGCTGCTTGCCAATTGTCGTCCTTTTCACGTGGAAATATGGTAATGTAAAGGTACGTGTCAAACATTACATTAATTAATTAATTAATTAATTAATTAATTTATTTATTTATTTATTTATTTATTTATTTATTTATTTATTTATTCATTTATTGTTCTGTTCTGGATTTTATCTCGTTACGTAACTTTAAATAATGGTAATGCTTATATACCTAATAGTAAAATTGCGTAGTTAGTGAGCGAGCTTCCTACTGTTATTTGTCTGTATGGATTTTGAAACAAAATGCACACAGAGCCACAGAATTAAACAATTTGTTATACAAGCGTTGAATGATACGTATCTACAAGATATTTCATATTTCTTATTTTTCTTATTTTATAACAGTTGATAAAGAACGTTCTGTCAAACAATTTTTGGAGACAACGCGCCATAAAATTACTGAAAAATAAACCTATGATAAACTTTATTAATTGCACATTTATTTTGATAAATATTATCTATAAGCCACAGGTCTAAATTGCACACCTTGTTTGCCCCCCCCCCACCCCGAAAGTGGTGCCCTGCGTTATATCCCAGTTAGCCCATTTCCATTCCAATTGGAAGCAGGAGGAAGTGTGCAGTCTGCGTTTTTATGCTACTAATTAATATCGAATGAGTTTTTTTGCTGTAATAGTATATTGAAAGACAAGTGTTACAATGCGACCTATTGTAATACGACTATCTTGTGGCACGAGTGGCGACGCGAAGCGTTTTCGGCCGAAAACAGTTGTACAAAATCATCATTGAGACACCGAAATAGAAAAAATTGATTTAATTGCTCTAAAACGACTTTAGTGTATCAGTCAAGCTTTAATTGAGTACGGTCACACACACCTTAAACGCTACGTTTCAGGATTAAGACAGATCACTTAAGAAATGTTTACAGTTAATCATTTAATCATGGCCTGCGGGTACTTAAGCAAATTTTATTTTCATTTAGAACCTAAAAGGATCGATCAGGAAACAAACGATGCTTCCTGGATAGTAGAATAATGGTAGCTTTCAAGGAAAGTAGAATAATGTGCGGTGTATTTCAAGTTTTTTGCTAAATTGCCTTGTGTAACGTTTAGCAGTATTTTCACTGAGGTTTTCTAAGCGCGTAAAGGGCTAGTTACAAGTATCACTTCCCTTAATTGTTATTATTCGTACTATACACTGAGATGCAAATTTTTACCAATGAACCTCCTAATAAATTAATGTATTCAAGTCATAGTCTATATGATATGTATGGTTTTAAGCATCAGTTTGAGAAGTTTACTAGGATAAGAGTCTATACAGTTGATATTCGGACAGAAAATTAAATTAAAGGAATTTCAAGATCAAGATATTAATGTAAATGGAGAAAAGTGAAAGAGCAATATTGAAGGAATGCAACACTATATATAGTCTTTACTATATTTTTGGTAGTTTCTCCACTTTACCTCCAAATATATGCAAAGTAGCGTAAATGCTTTTCGTAGTTTGTTTACTGTACCTCTTAAGCCACACTAATATTCTCAACATGTGGACGTTTGCCAAAGGCAACATCAAGACACGGGCCATGGATAGGGTCGCGTTCAATTTGCACAGTAACCGTCCTAGTAATAGAACAAAACGCGGTTCGGGTGGCTATAGTGAGTGGACCTTTAAATGTGCTCTGCAATTAACCTCGATTTCCCGGAAAATAGCGAGCGAACGCAAGGAGTGTACCGCGGATTTCTTTTTGTGTAATTCTATTAATGCACAATAGATGAATATAAAAGGGACATGATTTGAAATTTTCAAAAAAATTATTTCACCATGTTCTCTATAATGTTCATTGGTTTCTTGGACCATTTCCCATCTCATTTAATTTTTTGTGGAACCAAAAATCGGGGGTTTTATATTGTTTCTTTTTAGAGGAAAATGAACTGAAATTAATGACTGACAAGTGTATACCAAATTGTTTGACAGAGAGTTGGAGTTTCTACCAGCGTCCCAAGTAAGTCAGGTTTAAAATTACTTCTGCTATTTGTAGTCTTAACCGTGCAGGGTAATGCTAGACCTGATTTCCTTGAAAAATTAATATTAAATATAATTACATTAATCGTTGCTGTCCAGTTCTATTAGGTAGTTAAAGTTTTCCAGAAGTGAGGAGGAGTGCTGTTTAAATACGAAAGCCTTTTGCCAATTTGGAAACCAGGTTACGGTCCGTTTGAATTTTGCTTTTTGCCAGTTCCAAGGTCGAACCGGGGTCCGTCATTAGCCACATTTTCGTCGTATTAGTTTTCGAATCCCAGTTTTCTGTTCGGTTTGTTAATAAGTTTGTTTGCCAGTGTCCAGTTTCGTTCGTTGGCAGAGTAAAGGAGTTTTGATTTCGCCCAGTTGCTAGGCCGATTACGTATTGGTTTGAGGAGAACGCTGTTGAAGTTCGAGTTTGTATCATTTAAAGACTGTCTACCTAGATTTAAATTTATTTAAACAGAGTTTTACCCTAACCACCAGGTGAACCTCAAATAGTGAGGATGAACATTCCCGTATAGGTACACGGATAGATCAAACATTTCCCTAATGAGTGTGTTACATGCAATAAGTACTAGTATGCAAAAATATCTAAGGAGGAAAATTTGTCCCAAAAAATTCACCTCTTCTGTGGAAGGGCCGTGCCCAAGAAAGTTTACTGTTATTACTGTGTGTGGCTGCAAAAGAGTCTGCGATACTAAGCAGTGTGGGTGCGGGAAAGATTCCTGGGTCGCTTGCATAAAGTTGTGCAAATGTAAAGCGAAGTGCATGAATAGGACAGGTGAAGATCATGAATAACGAAAGTCAATTTACTCTACTAAATAAATATCCTAAATACCTGTTCAAAATGTGTTTGAGCATTTAAACGTGGTCTGAATCCCCTCATAGCAAAGCATTTAGTACACTTTTTGAATTTTGTAGAATTTTCGTTAAAATATGGCCTTCTCATGGTATTTTCATGCACCAAATTTATTTTTAAGCGTTTAATCGTATTCTACGGCCCCGAAAACATAGGCATAGGCACCTAGATCGCATATATAGGGTGTAGGATTGGTTTACGCACCATAGCGATTTCAATAGTAATTTCTTTAGGTATATTATTTTATCCCCTAATTATTTGACACCAAAGTTGTAGATAAATTTTTTGTAAATTGTAAAATTCTGCATCTATTCATGTGCCCATTTGTAGTTTTTTTATTGTATGCATAAACCAGTTCTAAACCATGTATATGACCGAAAGCAGAAAAACATCTAAATTTGGCGCTATTTTGGACACCATCTCTCTTCCTGTTGGAATTTCAAGTTGCTAAATGGAATTTTCGGATTCAGCGAGGTCGAATTATGGGGGTAACCCAATTGTTACATGAAATGCTTCGTGCATTTGGATTTTTGCAAAACAAGACCCGACTATAACTTTATACCAAGCAAACTTTCACGCTATCATAAGCTACAACATTGGCATCTGGGGTGCTACTGCGCACGTGGAACGAATCCTTAAATTACAAAAACGTGCGGTGAGAATAATGTGTCAACTTACATCAACAACATCGGGTAAAATATACTTCAAAAAATTAAAAATCTTGACAGTCTTTGACCTTTACCATAGTGTAAGAATAGAACTTTACACTAAGCCTTTACATCCTGGAAACATGTTTATACGCTTTCAAAAATAAAAAAAACAGTTTATTAAATTAACACATGTCTATAGTACACGTAACAAGTTTGTACTAAATGCTGACCAGCATAGAACAGCACTTTTTCAAAATAATTTAAACTACTTAAACTGTAAGATTTTCAATGTCCTTCCAAATTACATACAAACTCTAATCAAAAAAGAACTCAAAACAGAGTTACTAAACAAAAATTATTATAACCTAAAAGAATATTTTGAATATTGAGTTATATAGGTCAACCCTACATACATCATGGTTTTTATTATGTACTTTTGTTCTATTGTATTGTTTTTAAGCATGACAATTACTACCTACTATTGTTGTTCTGCCGCAACGTTGTTGTAGTAAAATAAACATTGTTATTATATTATTATTATACAATATATTTAAAAAAATATATCGAAGTATCCTATAGACTTCAAATTTTCTACGAAAAATCAAAATTTAAAGCGGCACTTTGACCAAAACATTCCATTGAAAATACGTAATTCTTTAGATTATCCATCCGATGATATATTCAAAGCGACCAGGAAATGTAGATTGTAGATAAATCGTTTGCTGATGGACCTCAATTTAGGCCAGAGAAAATAATTAATTTATGTTTGCATTTTTGTTTTTTTGTGTGTGTGTAGTAGGGTGAGGGTGAGGGTGTGTTATGTCAATTGTAACATAAATTGTTATCTTGTATTGGATCAAAATAAACAGCTCGATTCCAGCGTTTGCCTTGTTTGGTTGTATGTACGTACATTACAGTTTTTATGAGTTTGCTGTTTCAATTATTAAAAATTTCAGATCCTCGTAAATATAACTGGGCACATTCTGCGGGGGGTTATTTTCTCAATCAGATTCAAGCTGAGTTGCTGTTCATCCACAGCGATTACGATTACTTCTTGTTCTTGTTTACAATTTATTAGTTTGTCTATTGCACATTACCCCTCGTGTTTGTCTGATTTGAGTTTTAACTTCAGTAATTACTATCAAATTTCGTATAGATACAAAGAGACATAATACAAAAGTAAATCGAATTTGTGGAACGCTAATTAGCAATTATAGACGCCACATAGCCGGTGGTTAATAGGCTAACCCACTATTGTATAATTAGACATCATGTCTATATCTCGGTATAATTCGAACAATCACGCTGTTTCATATAGTAGACTTGTTTATTTGAGAAAACTACAATCTCCAACTGATATAATTATGGAAAAGAGATGTGTATTCTTGGGTGAAAACTGCGGTATTATAAAATGGAAATTTTCACTTTTACGCGTAGGATATATCATATTTTTGTTTACAAGAACTTTTTAAGGTTTTTCGTGTCGTAAAGTTCATTGCAATAAAAACTTTGATATATGCCTCA